CAACGCTTAGCGCATTGCCTTCACTCTGTAAGTCTCGGTTTTGATCTTGCATGCGTTCCTCGCACTTGATTTATAATATTACCTCCGCATTTTATAACTTGACTAATTTAATTAGATTAAAAAAATTTATTAAATTATTTATTAGTAATAAATATGAGTTAAATTTTTTAAAATATTTTTACTAATAATGTATATTAGTTAAAATTACTAATTAATGAAATATTTAACATACGTTACTATTATAAAAATTATTTTGAAAAAATAAATAAACACGAGAGACAAAATAAATTAAAATCTTATATTTAAAATAAATTGAAAGTAAAACTAGTTCTTGTATTAAAAATCAGATAGTACGATTAAAATTTTTTAACAATTTTATTTGGTATTAATTTTCTGTTCTCTCTTTTCATTTTTTCCGCATGCTATATTTTCTTTTACCTTTTATTTTATTACTAATTTTTTTTATTTGCCCCCTTATTAAATGAGGACTAACTTAAAAAAAGCTTTAATTTATACATATTTACTATTTTTAGTTAATTTTAACCTTTTTTTAAAATCAAGTAATTAAGCTGGTAAAAAGACCAAGTAATTAAGTTTAAAATATCTTATAAAGTGGTTTTTTTAAACAGACGTAAGTCAATTTTTATTTTCAAGACCATGTGTTGATTCGCTTAATCTTTTCGCTTGGTCATGTCTCTCTTTCTGCACATGAGTCCTTATGCTGTTCTGACTTTACTGGGGAAAAAAGGTCAGTCGATTTTCCATATTTTGCGGTGCAAGTTGAACGTTTGTTTTCTTTCCGGAATTGGTTGTTGAAGTTTGTTTATATTCCTAACTTTGGTAGTAACTTGTGAACTTATTATTCCGTTTAAATTTGGCATTCTCGTACTATACATTTAAATATGGGACGGGCATTTTTGGATGTTTAGCATGGGCATTAAGTAATAATTAATTCAGGGTAAACAAAAAATCATTAATCACGTACGACGAAGCAAACCGGAAAGCACTCTTTGTCAAAGCCCAAAAAAAAAAAAAAAACGCTTTGGCGGTCAATGCTCAGTCAAACACACTTGCGCCGATCCTGGTTTCTGTCTTTTCGTTTCACCGGCTTTTTAATTAGTTAAAATACACATCTGATAATCTAATACTTTTAAATGGCCTTATTTCTCTTATCAAGTATTCTTATATTTGCTTTCTTTCTTCTAATATTTTCTCCCCGTCACGTCTCCGATCTCTCTTCCTCCAACGGAGTTCTGGGGAAAACGTAAATCGATTTTTCGTGTTTTGCAATTGAAGTTGGAGGCTTGTATCCCCCCTTGGAGACTTGGAGCTTGTATATATTCATTAAATTTAGTATTTAGTAATACTTTGTTTTTAATATAAAAGCTCTTTTGTTTTTTATTTTAATTCTAAATATAAAATTTTAATTCATTTTGTCTCTCATATATTTTTTTAAGACTGTTCTTGTAATAATAGTAGTTTTAGAGAATATATTTGATTAGCAAGGATATTTTAGAAAAGATAATGCCTATTTATAATAAATAACTAACTTAACTAATTTTCTTAATCTAGTCAAATTAATCAATTAGCTCTTATATTAAGGATCAGAATTAATAATAACTTAGAAAATTACAGACTATGTTGTTTTCTGGTTTCAAAATTTACTTGCTCATTTACACTCAAACACTTGTATTTGGGGTTATGACTTCGATTATGTTTTGTAAATTGCCTAATTTTTGTTGTAAACTGCTGAATTCCACTTGTAAATCGTCAAATTTCATTTGTTCACTTACATTCAAACACTTACATTTTGGGTTGTGCATTCTCTTGTGTTTGCCAAATTTGGGTTGTAAATCCATAAATTTTTGTTGTAAATCTTCAAATTTTACTTGCTCATTTACACTTAAACACTTGCATTTGGGATTATGACTTCTATTATGTTATTTGTAGATTGCTTAATTTTTGTTGTAAATTGATGAATTCCACTTGTAAATCGTCTAATTTCACTTGTTCACTTATACTCAAACAGTTGCATTTATTTTGTTATATATATTTTTTATTTGCATCTTATGTTTGAATGGGTTGCTTGGCTTGGTGGTTGTAAACCTTTTGGTGTGCTAAGGGGTCATGAGTTCAAACCCTCCCTTGGCCACCTTGTTTTAAACGAAAAAAAATTCTGGCCACTGAAGGCCGGCCGGAGCTACTGTTCCGGACTCCCGGTGGCCGGAATAGTATCTCCGGTTAATATTTATTTTTTAATAAAATAAAAAAGGAGGGGCATTATTGTAATCTCACTCTAAATTTTAATTTTTCAATTTGGTCCCTTAGTCCTTTAGTGAGGTTTTAGAAAGTTTTGGGGGTTCTTTGACATTAATTGTATTCTTCAAATTTTACTTGCTCATTTGCACTTAAACACTTGCATTTGGGATTATGACTTCTATTATGTTATTTGTAGATTGCCTAATTTTTGTTGTAAATTGATGAATTCCATTTGTAAATCGTCTAATTTCACTTGTTCACTTATACTCAAACAGTTGCATTTATTTTGTTATATATTTTTTTTATTTGCATCTTATGTTTGAATGGATTGCTTGGCTTGGTGGTTGTAAACCTTTTGGTGTGCTAAGGGGTCATGGGTTCAAACCCTCCCTTGGCCACCTTGTTTTAAACGAAAAAAAATTCTGGCCACTGAAGGCCGGCCGGAGCTACTGTTCCGGACTCCCGGTGACCGGACCTCCGACCTCCGGTGGCCGGAATAATATCTCCGGTTAATATTTATTTTTTAATAAAATAAAAAAGGAGGGGCATTATTATAATCTCACTTTAAATTTTAATTTTTCAATTTGGTCCCTTAGTCCTGCAGTGAGGTTTTAGAAAGTTTTGGGGGTTTTTTGACATTAATTGTATTCTGCGGTCCTTCAGTGAAATTCTCCCTATTTAATATGTATAACCACCATAAGAATTATTTTAGAAAAATAGATAAATATGAAAGATAAAATAGAGTAAAGTCTTATATTTAGAACTAAATTAAAAGTCAAACTAGTTCTTATATTAAAGATCGAGATAGTATTTCTTAAAAACCAAAAAAAAATTTTAATTGTTTTCTTATCTTTTTTAGAAAATTGAAAAATTCCTTTTTCTCCATTCCATGACTTTTTGCCTTTAAAGGCTTGACTTCTTATCGAAGTTTCGGCCTCCGGTTTCATTATATTTATTTTCAAATGTAATATTTTAGAATAATTATTCAAGTAGATTTTCTAAATTGTTTGTTCAAACCTGTTTTAAAAAAACAATTTTAAAAAATTGTTTTGAGCCAAAAAAAGAAGAAGAAAGAAACAGACACCTATTATTCTTTATGAATTTGGCATTCTCATACTATATATGTATATACTTTCAAAATATAAGTTAAACTTTATCTATTTATATTTATTAAGAAACTAGTTAAAACCAATTTAAAATAATAAATAAGTAAGATATGTATTTTTTTTAAAATATGCTCTTATTAATAAAGAGAATAAGCAAAAAAATGAAATAAATGAATAAAAAAGAAAAGAAAATATATAGAAGTAAAATTAAAAAAACTCATTAAATACCTAGACAAAAATGAATTTTATCTTATAAGAAAAACTAAGCATCTCTACCAAAGTTTTATTTATATTTTGAACAGGAAGAATTAGTTAATAATTATGGGATTTGTATTTTTGGATGTTTAGCATAAGTATTAGTTAATAATTAATACGGGGTCAAAGAAAATTAATAATTAATTATATCATTAACCACGCACAAGGAAGCAAACCAAAAAGTAATCTTTACACTGGTGTTTTGATTAACTTTTAAAAATAATTTTACAAAATTTAAAATAAATATATATAAAAAATTGTGTCTCAATTTGCGTGAAAGTCAATACTTAGTCTCAGATCCTGATTTTTGTCTTTTCGTTCCCCCGGCCTTCTGCTGTTTTTATAATTATATAATTTTACTAGTAAAATTGTATGTGATAATTGTTTTTACAAAATTGTTTACACTTATAAAAAATAAAAAATAAGTTAATATACAAATTTAGGAATGTTTTGAAGTTTTTTACGGAGGACTTAAATTGTAAATCTACTATCTATAATTATTTATATCACATTTTAAATTAATTAAAATACACATCTAATAATCTAGTAGAGTATCTATCTCGTATCTAATAATCTAATAATTTCATTATAACCGAATTTTTGGAAAAGAAAAGCGTAACTCCTTTTTGATGAGCTGGCCTCATAATAAGATCAAATCTGTTCATAGCAAACGTTGATCTTTTTCCAACCTGTGTTCGCCCCTCGCGATCCGAGAATTGTTCTCACCTCTTTCCTCCTCGATCCCCCGCCGCCGTAGAGTTGCTCAACAAATGATCTGGTTTTTGTATGTCCCTCTGATTCTTTTTTAATCTTTTTTAACTATTAAATCAACATCCAAAATATTTGGATTTAATATTTGTTATAAATATCCTTTGATTTTTAATTTTTACTGGAATTTTAATCAAATTTTAGTGATTTGAATTTAATTTTAACATTTTAATTTAATAATATTTTTCTAAAAATAAGATTGTTTCTGAATGGTGACCATCTTAATGAGTCAGGAGAAGGAAAAATGATGGAAAAGAAGAATTTTTTCTCGGTACTGTATCATGCACGTTTCGCGGGTTCTCTTGCGACTTCTCCTCTTCCTTGTCTGCAATCTTTTATCATATCTGCTCTTTTATCTGCCAGGCTCTCAGTTGCTCGTCTCGCTGCATTTAGCTCTTCCCTAAGGCGAGGATTAGTCCCTTCAGGCAGTGGCTGTTTAGCCCCTGGTTCACCGGTTAATTGACGAGCAAGCTACCATTTTGGAGCAGTATTTCTCACTGAAAGGCAGGCAATAGTACGCTTGATTCTGTGTTGGGAAAACTTTTTGGGATTTTTGTTTCTAGTCAGTCTAAAATAATACAGTGATAAAGGAGAGATCTTTTCTTTACAGCTATGTATAGCGGCACGGGTGTGGCAGGAAGAACTCGGTCTAGACAAGGAAACGCTGGAAAACCATACTTTGAGGATGATAATAACCACAGGAAACAGCATGAGGCTGAGGAAATTACGTCTCGAGACGACTGGTGCTCTATCGATACTGTATCCGACGACGACGAGGACGTGATTTTGATCGAAAGCGCTATACAAGATGATGACAATAAGGAGGACATAGGACGAACTCAGCCCAGACAAGCACGTGAGGATTGTGATGAAACTGCAAGCGATATTGGCTCTTCTGATGTTGGTGGTAGTGACCATAATGGCTTTACTAGAAGCCGATGTATTGCCAGAAGAACTCGGTCTCATTTCCGTGCTTCTAAATTTAGAAACACTAAATCGGGGACCTTCAGCAATCCCATTAACATCGACGATGAGGAAAAGGAGAATGAAACAACAAATGACATCCCCATCCGTCAGGAGTCTCTCCATGGTGAGGAAGTGATGCCTCTTGAGAACTCCGCTTCCTCAAGTGATGAGGAAGTAAATCCAAAAGTGATGAGGAAGCGAAATCCAAAAGTTACGCCTAACCGGAGAAGAAAACAGTTTGATGGTTTCAAGATTCTTCCGGATCATCCCCACAGTAAGGGAGTGGCGCCTCTTGAAAAACCCGCTTCCTCAAGTGACGAGGAAGGAATTTCAGAAGTCATGAGGATGCGAAGTCCAGGAGTTACTAATAACGAGAGAAGAAAACAGTTTGATGGTTTCGAGATTCTTCCGGATCATCCCCTTAGTGAGGGAGTGGTGCCTCTTGAAAACCCCGCTTCCTCAAGCGATGAGGAAGGAAATCCAGAAGTTATGAGGAAGCGAAGTCCAGAGGTTACCCCTAATCGGAGAAGAAAACAGTTTGATGGTTTCGAGATTCTTCCGAATCATCCCCATAGCGAGGGAGTGGCGCCTCTTGAGAACCCCGCTTCCTCCAGTGATGAGGAAGGAAATCCAGAAGTTATGAGGAAGCGAAGTCCTGAAGTTACCCCTAACCAGAGAAGAAAACAGCTTGATGGTTTCGAGATTCTTCCGGATCATCCCCATAGCGAGGGAGTGGCGCCTCTTGAAAACCCCGCTTCCTTAAGTGATGAGGAAGGAAATCCAGAAGTTATGAGGAAGCGACTTAAAGTGTCCCGGCCAGTGTCTGATGATGAATTAGCTAAACTATGGGCTGAGTCGGACAAGGGTCTCTATGATTGTGAGGATAACGACGGAACTCCAGAAGATAGTAAACTAGAGAAATCAGAGCCCGAGGAAGAAGATAGTGAACTGCGTGTTCCTAGTGCTTGTGATGATGAGGCAGGAATTCCAGAAGAGATCAAGCCATGTCCATCATCAAAGTCTACTTCCGGGACTGAGGCGTCGCAGCCTCTTGAGAAATTAGAGGCGGAGGAAAAATCTTTTCTATGGGCTGAGATGGAGGATGGTCTAGCTTGTGAAGAAGTTACTCCTGATCAGGTAGGTTTCATCGTAGATGTTCAACGGTCAAAGCTTATTCTTTTTGTTATATTTTTTGGTATATAGCTGTGGCTGAGCTTTAGGATTTTTATGTTGTTAGATACATGTAGTGCAGCGTATTTGAGCTTCTTTAACTATCATTCTTGCAAATTTGGTTCAAATGATTTTCATGACCCAGTGTCTTTATCTTGAAGTTTGGTAAGCTTTGGTATTTTAGCCATATGAGCATGGATGTTAAAATTATATTTTGATTCAAATGCTGTGAAGATATGCATTGAAGGAAATATTTTTGTACATTTATTAATTGTATTTTATGAGCTGTAGAATGAGGCATGAAGGCGTAATTTCTTCTTTGAATGTGATACTTTTCCACAATCCCTAATTATTTGGTCCTTCTGCTACTGGCCTAGATTGTGCTTGAAGAATAAGTTCGTGATATGTATAGGTGTGAAACCTTTTCGGTTGTACCTTGGACATTTTGAAAATCACGTTGATAATTGTGCTATTAGACTCGTTTGGGTCAACTTTGTTATTGATGCCAGGTCTTTTTCCTTTTTGCTTTATGTGTCGGTCAACAGGTTGACAATGAGCATTGTGATGACTCACGTGCGGAAGGTGAAGATAGTGTAGCTGCTCGTTGTCAGCGAGGGGATCATGTTCCTATAATGAACGATGAGATTGGGATAGTGTGTAAATATTGCTCACATCTGATTCGGGACATCAAAGATTGTGACCCTGAGTTTGTAAGTTGACTGACCTGTTTATTTGACATTTTGAAACTTAAGGGCTAAATAGAAATTAAAGATTCGAGTATGTCTCTCTTAATTGTTACCAACGCTGATAGTTGTAAGCTATGTCTAGTACAGTCCTAGTGCTGGTTGAGTCAATCGATTGCTTTTGCATATGTAAGTATTTAGAAATGGTGTTTTGTTCAGCTTTATTTTCATTTTTCTATACTAAGTTCTCTATTTTTATTTTTTTAATGAAAAACAATTTTTCCTCGATATGCAGGGCAAAAATCCATCGGGAAAATCAGGTGGGAGATACTCTTATCGTTCGGAGGATTCTAACGACTCTTTCTCTGTTGATACTGAGCATGAAAATTCTGTTTGTGATGGTAAATGTTCCGGATTTGTTACTTATGCTCCTCCCACCGGAACTGTGTGGGATATAATTCCAAGAGCGAAGTGGAGGATGTACGATCATCAGGTGGAAGCTTTTGAATTTCTTTGGACGAACTTAGCTGGTGGGACAGTTCTGGACGAGTTGGAAGATCAGTTAGATTTTGCCAGTGGAAATGGCTGCATTATATCACATGCTCCTGGCACTGGCAAAACTTTTCTTACCATTGTCTTTCTCAGGGCTTTCATGAGGAGGTATCCAAATTGCAGACCCATGATCATAGCTCCAACCAATATTCTCCACACATGGGAGAAAGAGTTGAAGAAGTGGGAACTAGGTGATCCCGTTCCCTTTCATAACTTGAACAGGCCTGATCTTTCCGGGGAGGAGACTAAAACTGCCATGACCCGTCTTCGGAGGTACGGTGGTCGTGCACGTGCACACAATAATCAAAATGCTATCCGAGGGACAAAGATTTTTTCCTGGAAAGAGTCTTCAAGCATATTAGGAATTAGCTATACATTGTTTGATAGGCTTGCTAGAAAGGGCTCCGATACTGTAAAGAATGCCCTTTTTGAACTTCCAGGGTTACTAGTGCTTGATGAAGGTCACACCCCTCGGAATGAAAGGAGTCTCATGTGGGAAGCATTGTCAAAAGTAAAGACAAAGAGACGGATCTTACTCTCTGGTACTCCCTTTCAGAATAACTTTAAGGAGCTTAATAATACACTCCGGTTGGCCAAGCCAAGGTTGGCAGAAACCAAAAGGAATTTGGAATATCTGCTAAAATCATATGACAGAGTGGAGAGTAACAGTGAAAGAAGGGAGATAGTTGCTAATATCAGAGACTTGATCAAACCATTCGTGCATGTGCACAAGGGTACCGTCCTACAAGAGCGTCTTCCTGGGTTGATGGAATCTGTGGTTAATTTAATGCCATCTCAGACACAGATGTCAACTTTTGAGAACATTCGGCGGTTAAGGGAGGGCAGGGAGGGGTCCTCTAACTGGTTCAAATTTGAATATCTGATGTCTGTAGCTTCTGTGCATCCTTCACTTTTTGTCAATGAGCTTACCAACTTGCCAGAAAGAGAAAGGGTTGAATTGAATTCGGGGTTAGAAGGACTAGAATCGTCGCCAGAGTGTGGAGCCAAAACAAGGTTTGTAATGGACTTCGTCCAGCAAATTGTGCGCATGAAGGAAAAAGTTCTGATTTTTAGTCAATATATTGTTCCATTGACCTTTCTGGCAAACCACATCAAATCGTGCTTTGATTGGAATGAAGGAGAGCAGATGATGGTAGTTCACGGGAAGACCCATGAAGGGACGCGACAGGCTTCAATTGATGCATTCAATGATCCAAGCAGCAAAGCAAGGGTAATGCTGGCATCAACCAAGGCTTGTTATGAAGGGATCAATCTGGTTGGAGCTTCAAGGGTTATTTTACTGGACACCTTATGGAACCCTTCAGCAGAAAGGCAGGCTGTGTCTCGTGCTTATCGGATTGGACAGAAGAAAGTTGTGTACACTTACCGTCTCATAACCGCAGGGACATGGGATGAACAGAAACTTTATATTCAAGCTCAGAAGGATCAATTGTCTGAGTCGGTGTTTTTTGTTTCCGACGAAGATGACCGTTGCCAAAATATGTCGCCCGGTGGTTTTGAAGATAAACTTTTGGAAAAGATGGGACGTAAATTTGGAATAAAAATCACTAAAAGGGGAGTTACAATTTTGCTTGAAAGTGAAAAGTAAAACTGCCACGTTCTGACTTGCAGTGGTAAGGCCTTGCCCTTGTTTTTGGTTGTTTAGTCTTTGTCTGCTTGCAATTGATTAGCTGTGTCCATCCTTTATCTTGAAATGAATGACTTCTTTAGCTGACAATCGCATGGCTTGGGCATTTTTGTTTTCTTTTTTCACAAACATTTTGGTTAATAGTCCTAGTTGGACAATCTTAACAGTGTCTTGAACTTGTGAAGAATTGGAACCTCCATTTATGAAATGGCAAAAGCGACTGGTGTTAACATTGTGGGGCTTAGCTTCTCTTCTGATGGTCCTCTTACTCCACCATTGGTCGCTTTTAGAAGTGAGTCCGTCGCCTCAGTAATATATAGTTGACTGGTTTCATTAATCAGCGGACTTCCTTTATGCTAGACTTGTCACTAGTTTTAGGAACCTCTCTCAACATGTATCATGTCTGTCATACGCGACTTAACACTTGATTATAAACAATTTAGACATGATTATATGTTTCTTTCTGCTGCAGATGGTATGTTCTTGTTCTTTGTTTTTTTTTTTTTTTGGGGGGGTATATCCAGGAGGTGGAAGATGATCTCTTTCACAGCAGATGACTCTTTGACTTTACATGACAACTCAACAAAATTTGTATATCATTGAAGACTTCGAAGCACACAGTACCTCTATCAGGAGAGGAAAAAGTTCGTTTTTCATTTGATGCATATGCCAAATCATGTATGTATCAGGAGAGGACAACAGACAATGAACGAAGCCAACGGTACATTCTGAAGTAATAATATTCTTCAGTTTACTATTTTCCCACGAACAAATTATTTTTATTGTTTCAGCCTCCCAAAAGAAAATATTTTTATTGGTGTGTGTTTGTGTGTGTGGGGCAGATCAACCTTTCCCTCATTCTCAACAGTACTACGAGAGTTGTAACTGCACAGAGCACCTTTCGGAGATTAGAGGATCAAAACCAGTTCATGTCGGTTATTAGTGCCTCTGAAGAAGCAAATGGCTTGAATGCACAACGTAAATGTAAATTTTTTAAGTCGTAATCTGAACAATTTGAGAAATATTTTGAGAGCAATACTACAGTCTAATTTTGTTCGTAGTAAGCTTGAAGTGGGTCCTTGTTTCTTGCGTGATGGGCTTCTAAAGTTGAATGAGAATCTGACTTTGTTTTTTTGTGTGAGGAGAGATGCAGCTCCCAGCTGAGCTTCGAATCCTAACTCGGGCCTCTCTTTCTCCTTCACCGGTTTCGGACGAGGTGTGAGCCTCTGCGTGGAAGATGGAGAGACTATCGCCTTGAAGGAAGCCACGTCTTACTTTTTTTTTTAATGTATAATTTTATGTAAAATCCCCATCAGCTGATGAGTTAGAAGCCGCATGAGTAATTTTTAACATTATTAATATTTTTTTGCCACATAGAATGACACTCGTGATGAGTTAAAAGGGCAAGATTATAAATGAAAGAAAAATAAGGAATTGAGTTATAAACAAATCATACACCAACTCAAACTTCAGAAGCTAAGTTATAATTTAAGTCAAAAATTTAAGAATACAAAATTAATTTTTCCTAATACTAATATAGGAATGAAGTATGCAGAGAAGGGGGGAAATGGAATCCGTTGTGAGAAGCAAGGAACTTTAGATAACTATCAGGAGAGCCGCCAATTAGACAACTCCGAGAAACAGGCTTGAAAAACATCCTGCTGTTCCATACAATAATTAAACAGAATGTTTAAATAGGCAGCCTTGAATATATAAAATCGGCGGCTGAATCTACTTAGGTCAGACTTAACTATTGCAATGCCACGCAGGTGATGGAACAGATGATGAAATCTATATGCAAGGGGATCAGTTACTTGATGAACAATCAATATCAGCATAAAGTGCAACAATTTGTATAAAATTAATTAGAAACAAACCAACGGAGCTCATAAAATATAAAGATGAAATTGAAATCACGCACTCATGCAATGTGTCTGCATATTTCTATACAACACAGGCCTAAGATAAATAAAACAGAGATCCAGATTGTAATCATTCAAAGGCCTTATGATCTGCTGAACGTTGCAAGAAATTCTACAATACATAGCTTCCCCACCCCCTGTGAAACCACTATACGACATAGTTAAAACATGGACATACTTTCACTTTCATGAAAAGCTTGCAATTCCAGCTTCATGGCTTATGAATTTTGAAGCCGAAAACTCTAGGTACATAGCTCTGCAAGGGCTTTTGAGGCTTCAGCTGTCCGTAAGTCATAAGAAAGACATGCGGAAATGTAGTTCCAAAATAAGCTCCATCAATGTCTACATAGAATCAAGGAAATCTGGAAATTACAGGAATAATGCCCTGCCATCAAATTGAACCTCAAGCCAAATGCGTGCGTGTAATCATATACATTTCAGATCTTAACTACAATAACAATGCTCTTACAATGGGAAGAGGGACGCAATATAAACAATAAATTACACTATATGGCTACTTGGGTTTGATGATAGATTTACCAAATGAGAATTAAAAAAAAATAAAAAAAATACCTTGTCTCCGCAGAAGGCAAAAAAAATCAGAGAAATAAATATTAAATTAGCATAATTAATATTCACAAAACTTTTAGAAGATTACAGAAAAGGCCTCCACTTTTCTGTGGATTTTTTCCTCGAGCTACCTGGTTTTCATGATTTTGACATGGAGCTGTTGGAAATGCAAATTACACTGTTTTCCCACACAACATAAACTGAAAATAAACAACAAACAGTAACTAACTAGGACAAGTGTCAACCTATAATGCATAGTATTAAATAGTAATACACTAAAGTCACATAGCATTAAAATGATTTTTCTCCTGGAAAGGGGCTTCCATGTCTTTTCCTAGAATAAACTAGCAAAGCAAGTCGGTTCTTTTCAACTGTGATTCAGGCTCAAATCCAAAATGGCAAGTTTAGTTGACAGACTAAACAACGAATATAAAAAGCATAGATTGAGAGAAGGACGCTAAAACTGGAACAGAAAATTTTCAACACTAAATATAAGGATACTGCCTTGATACTTGGACCGCGGATAGTAAACATCTTCACATCTAGGGCAGTATATTTTCACAGTACTTGATCTAGGAATGTCCGACTGACCAACTGGAAGACAGGGTTGTCCAGAGCAGTAAACTCTCGGGCACCTCCCAAAATCATAGTTTTTGTACTTGTCCAGCTGGGAAAAAACATTTTTATCAGTGCCAATTTCTTATAGCAGTAAACCATCCAAGCAGCGATCAGTGATTGCCGAATCTCACCATAGCAGCCATTCCTCTGCCAGTCAATATATACCGGGCATGAATAAGACCATAAAGCATTTCTGCTGCTGATTCAATTAACTCATTTTGTTCCTCTGAGAACATGTAATCTAAAAATTCCAACCATCCAATATTAGCACTTACACAAATCAAATCATTGCATAATTAGAAAGGTTATAAGAGTTACAGGCATACAGATGTAATCTAAATTCATCTTAGAATGTTAAAGGCAAATAAATTTTGTAGCAGAGTCATAGTAAAGCGTAATACAAAAATCTCCCATCATATATTAGTCTTGCATAAGAAGTCTAAAAATGAGAATCTATGGCTTACCATGGGAGGATTCAACATCCAAAATTAAATCTAGAGCATAATCATAGTAAGGAACTTGACTACTTAATCCACAGAGGTTGAAATCGTCTTGGATGTAGTCATCATCAACTTCGCAAAAGAATTCATTTCCTCTTAGATTGCAGAACCATGAAATCCAAGATGTGTCATCTCCATCAGAACCACTAACATCTGACTCCTCACTGTCTGTTTCCGATTCCTCTGCAACTAATGCATACAAGATTTTTATCAGCTCATTATTCATCAATGTCATTATTGGCACTATAATAATCAAGCATATACTACCTCCGTTCTTAATATAAAAACTAGTTTGACTTTTAATTTGGTCCTTACTGTTTTGTCTTTTATATTCATTTTTTTTCCAAAATAGTCATTATAGTAAGGGTAATTCTAGCTAATACATTTGATTGAAAGAATATTTTAGGAAAAAAAACAATTCGTATTTATTACAAATAACTAAGCTAATTTTTTTAATCCACTCAAATTAATCAACTAGCTCTTCTATTAATCACAGGAGGTACTATTATCTATCTGCCTATCTCACCACGCCTCCACCTTTTTGTCAACCATCTATCTGTACAACAAGTCTAGTAATGGGATAAACTATATATTAAAATGCGCGCGCACAATGCTTATCTTCTTCGTAAAATGTAGGAATTTTCTTCCATTTTCCTCATACTTCAACTCATAGTAACCAGAACTATTGCAATTGGAAAACATATCAAATACCAATAATAACGCAAGCGTCCACGCAAAAAGAAAATGACTTTAACTCGTTTTTAGAATGGTCATCCAGAGAAAGAGATGTGTGCTTACCATCTGAAACGTTAGAGTTCTTAGATATGGAGGCAGAGCGAGAATCCTTGTGATCAGCCGGTGGCTTGCCCGTCAATACAGATTGCACCGACCTATCCTTGCCGTTGATTGCCCTAGAAGTGGACGGCGAGGATCGCTCAAGCTGCTTGTCGAGAACGGCGTTGATTCGCTTTCGATCCACGGAACTCACCTCCGATTTGGACCCAACAGGTGCTCGCTCTCTGTACATAGCTCTTTCCACCAATTCCTCCTTGCCCCGATTAAATTTCACCGATGCCATAGCGCAACAACAAATTGAGATGAAGAACCCCCTAGGTCTTCGAATAAATCCAGGGCTTACGCACTTTTAGTTTCCAGGAGAAGCTAGTCCATTTCTATCCTCTCCCTTGCCTTTGTTTTGGCTTTCGCTTGCTCAGACAAAAAAATTATGGGCAAATCACACAGACACAGGCTCTTGAGAACTTTTAGAGCTCTGCAGAAAATAAAATGGCGATATTTTTATGGAGCAAAGTTAGTGGGAAGATGATTATATACGCTGATTTTTTTTTTAAAAAAAAACGTGTTTTAAATCAATAGTAGAGCACGTATTATCCAAGGTTAGATTAGATATGGCTTCTTTTTCTTGATAAAATAAGACGCCAGTTAGGGGAAGATAAATTGGTAAAATTGAGGAGAAAAAAAGCTCCCGTTAAAACTTCTGTTGTTGAAAAAAATCAAAATATCAGTACAAAATTTTCAAAGTGCCGTTTTTTTTTTTTTCCGGAATCTTTTCCCATATAACTTCTAAAAAGTTAAGATGAATCTGCAAGTTAAAATAATGGGAAAATGACAGATAAAGCCACTCCAATATATACAATTCCAGTTTGGGTCCTGGAATTGTAGAAATGACAGATTGGGTCATTGACCCAATCTGTCATTTGTATAATGAGGGCAAATGGACAAATTCGCCCTTCTGATGTAAAAGCAAAAAGAATTATACTGAAGCAAGGAAATGTCGATGACACTTATGGCTCTGTAGAATTATACTGCAGAAAGGTGGAGAACGTTGGACGGTGGGACCTTGGAAGGTGGTTGAAGCAAGCAAGGTTAGTAATTTCTCACACCACAGTTATCGTCTATTCATCCTGGGGTCTAATCACGGTGGTTTTGTTCTTCATTTTGAAGTATTGTGATTGTGGGTATGGTTGGGTAGACGTTCTTGGTCTTGAAATCTAAATGAGGTTGAAAAAAGCAAGTGAAGTAATTTTGTGCACCACAATCTTCGTCTTTTCATCCCCTACCATGATCATTTATCAATATGGGTCTATCAACGTTTTCTCCGACGAAGCTGATACAGTAAATGGGGTTACGTACAAAGGTCGAAGCATGCGTACTTATAGCGTTTCGTTGGTATAGTGAAGTTCGTATTTTTATTTGCCTGAGCTGAAGCATTTATCCATAGGGGTTTGTTGCTTTTTGGTAGGGTTTACAGTGATTAGTGTTGGGGAATGGAGGATTGTTTTTGGGAGAAAGTCGAAGCTGATTGCATGACATTGAAGTTTGAGGCATGACAGTTATGATAGGGTAGATATTATAGTTAATAGCTAATGTTAAAGTGTGAAAGCATAAACTAAAGTTGTTAATGAGTGAAGAGGTACTGTCATTTATCTTTATTTAAAGAAGTGAGAAAATATCATTATCGGTGAACTAACGTAATGATTATTCAATTGTTTCAGCTTGGCTTGCACAATGAATTGTAATATTGGCTCCACTCCTGGGAAGGAATTATTTTGTTACTTTCATGTAGATGGAGAATTTGTTATTAGTCCTGAAGGTCAAGTTAGATATCATGGAGGCAGAGTACATGCAGAAACGATAAAAGATGGAATGACACTTGAAGATTTAAGGGCAACTATATCAGAATGCAGTGGTTATGATGGTAGCAGTTGGGACATGAAGTATACTGTCAAGTATGATGAGAGGACATTAATTAATCTTGTTGATGATAGCGGAGTTAGAAATCTTTTTGTGCATAATGACATCATTGCGCATGTGTATGTATCATTGAAAGGCAATGAGACTGAAAGACATAAAATCAATGATCAAGAAATGTAAGTTATAAATTTCTTCTGGTTGAAGTTGTTATTTGTTGTGCTAATGTAGTTAATGTGGGAACAGATATTGTTAATATGCTAACAATTGTAGTTATCGTGTATGCAGAATTGAGACAGAACCACATGAGATGACTGATGCGCAAATGTAAGTAAAAATTTTTTGCTGGTGTAAGTTGCTATTTGCTGTGCTAATGTAGTGAATGTAAGAACAAATGTTGTCAATATGCTAACAAATGTAGTTATCGTGCATGCAGAATTGAGACAGAACCACATGAGATGACTGATGCACAAATGTAAGTAAAAAAATCTTTACTGGTGTAAGTTGCTATTTGCTGTGCTAATGTAGTGAATGTAAGAACAGATGTTGTGAATATGCTAACAAATGTAGTTATCGTGCATGCAGAATTGAGACAGAACCACATGAGATGACTGATACACAAATGTAAGTAAAAAAATCTTTGCTGGTGTAAGTTGCTATTTGCTGTGATAATGTAGTGAATGTAGGAACAGATGTTGTCAATATGCTAACAATTGTAGTTATTATGTATGCAGATCCGAAATTGAAAGATGGTTGGGATTGTCACGCCAGGAAATGGCTGTATCTTATATCAGTTTGGGAAACGATTATGAGCATGTGAGTCATGAAAGTACTGCTGAATGCATTCCTTATCAAGTCTCAAGTGGCTCACATGTAGGCAGTGATGGCCCGCATGAAGGCCCAAGCTCCAGTGGAGGGAATGCAGTGGCACAAATTACTGAGATGAACTATAGTAAATGGTTGGAACTTTTTACAGGCGTGGGGCAGAAAATTGCACATGCTGGTTTGTTTAGGGAGTATTTGTACAAGTTTAGCATCGCACATAACTTTAAGCTTAAATTTTTGAGGAACAGCAAAGAGAGAATGTCTGTCATTTGCAAAGTGGAAGGTTGTCCATGGAAAATATGTGCAAGTGCATTGGGGAAGAATGTTCCATATCTTCGTGTCACCACATTCATTAATGAGCATGTCCATAGTGCCCAAGATAATTTGCAAGTTAGACAGTGTGCAAGATCTAATATGACATCCTGTATAATTATCGATGAGGTGAGGAACCATGTTGACAAGCGGGCAAGTGAAATAAGGACAAAATTGCAAACAGAATATGGTCTGAATGTTACATATAAACAGGCATATAGGGCGAAGGAGAAGGCAATAGAAGACATACATGGTAGACCTGAACATTCATATATGTTAATACCATGGATATGCCAAAGGCTGAAGGAAACCGATGAGAAAACAGTAGCTGAATGGGTAGCTGGTCCTAACTACAGATTTGAGCGTGTGTTCATCGCATACGGGTGTTGTATAGAGGGTTTCTTGGCTGGTGCTAGACCCGTTCTGTATGTTGACGGAACTCATTTATCTGGACCATATAAGGGAACACTCCTCGCAGGTTCAGCATATGATGCAAATAATGAGCTGTTGCCTTTTGCAATGGCTATTGTAAAGGGAGAGACAATTGATGACTGGACTTGGTTTATGTCTATGATTAAAAAGATAGTTGGCTCAAAGCCATTAACTATTGTGTCAGACCGTCATAATGCCATAATAGGAGCTGTACAATCAGTGTTCGGTTCTGACAGGCATGCTTATTGTTATAGGCACGTTAAGGAAAACTTTTGTGCAGAGTGGCTGAAATTGAACAGAGGTAAAAGGAGCAGAACACGCTCCAAAGAGGATGCATTAATGCTTCTTAATAAAATTGCATGGGCTAGGGTTGACGATGAATTTGACAAGGCAATGGCAGAAATGAGGGAGTTCTCTCCAGAGTTATTTGACTGGCTTAACAATCATGGGGATGTAGATAAGTGGGCTGTGAGCAAGTTCCCATATAAACGATGGGATAATATAACCACCAATATTGCTGAATCATTCAATGCTTGGATGGTCAAGGAAAGAAAGCACAATGTAGCCCAAATGATTCATGAGCATCGTGAGAAAGTTGCGAAAAAGATGCAAGCATCAAGTGTGGCAATGACAAAATGGAAGAGTTGTATAGGGCCAAAGATAGAGACCAAAGTAAAGGAAAATGTGGAGGTTAGTAAGCAGTTCATTACAACAGATTATGGTAGGGGAAATGTCAATGTCCAAACCTCACGTGGACACCACCGAGTGAGTCTCAGCTTGCACCATTGTAGTTGTGCAGAGTGGCAGATGACGGGGATTCCATGTAGGCATGCTTGTGCAGCGGTGAAAACTGTCCATGGTGATATTTATGATTACATTGAGGGATGGTACAAATTTTCATGTCAGCAGAAGATTTATGGGAGGTGCATGATTCCGGTGGTCACAATTGACATGCCAAATTTAAATGACTATAGGATGGAGAATATATCTAATCAAATTTTGCTGCAACCCCCAATCACAAGTCGGGCTCCTGGAAGGCCTAAGATTACAAGGCATGAGTCACAATACCAAGACAAAAAGATATACCGCTGTACTCAATGTCATCAAGTTGGACATACTAGAAGGACGTGCAAAAACCCAAATCCAAGTTGATTTGGGATGTACACCATGTGATGCGTCATTTTTTTGTTAGCACTGTAGGGCCATTTTTTTGATTGAAAAAATGTAAATAGTTTAATGTATTGGCCATGTTGGTTTTTGGTTAATGGCCATGTTGGCATTATGTTGTTAGGTATGTTTTTTGTTGGTCAATGCTTTAACTGTTATTGTTATATCATTGTAATTACTGTGGACGGTTGGGTGGGTGATGTCCTTGACAATGAAACATTAAGTGGAAGCATTATCTTAATGTCCACTTGTCATGAAACATATGTAAATCAGTTATTGTGATGTATTTGATGATTATTGGTTAATGACTAAAGTGATGTTGTTATTCTCTATTCTATTGTTGAAGTTGTGATGCATTTGCTGTCATGTTATATTTCCTATCTACAATTATGCTACTGTGAGTAGTTATTGGTGCATGACAAACGTGCATGTAGGTAATGCTTAAACACTTCTAGTGAATTGTTGATCAGATGTGGGTAATAACCTCATCACTTGTACTGGCTCTCAATGAAACTCCTCACGGGCCATTTCTGCGTACGTTGATATAGTAAGTAGTTATTTTCTACACCGATGTAGGTAATGCCTACACACTTCTAGTGAACTGGTGATTAGATGTTGTTAATAAGGTCATCACTTGTACTGACTCTCAATGAAACTCCTCATGGGCCATTTCTGCGTACGTTGACATAGTAAGTAGTTATTTTCTACACAGATGTAGGTAATGCATACACACTTATAGTGAATTGTTGATCAGCTGTGGGTAATAACCTCATCACTTGTACTGGCTGTCAATGAAACTCCTCATGGGCCATTTCTGCGTACGTTCATATAGTAAGTAG